TGATAGATGGATACACTGTTATGTGTCATCATATTGAATAGAAGTTGTGCTGCTGTATGTTTCTCCAACTGAGTTTGTTGCAGATACTAACAGGTTATAGATGTCTGAGCACTTTCACAAAATCAGTCAATTTTTGATCAATCAATTTCATGAAATGCTACTCTTCAATAAAGTTCTGAATGAGAGATTTGCCATGTATCAAATTGTCATTGCAAGGTTTATATTTGATGTGCAGGTTTATGAAAACACAGATGAAGTTCTAAAATTCTATATGAACTCTGATGATCTGTTGTCACAGCAGAGAGTGGTATTTGATCATAATAGTATTTCAGAGAACATATTCTCGCGTTCTGCTATTACATCAGCATCATCCTCACTGAGCAAAAATCTTGATGCATTACTTAAGTTGTTCAATAACACTGATGAAAATGAGGAAGCGGACGGTCTCATTGAAGTGTTAGAAAAAAACACAGCAGCATATTGCTGTCATTGTATTCAACATTTAACAACATCTCCCCATCATCACTGTGAGCCTGCTGAGGGTCGACACAAGAAATGCAAGCACTGCTCAGTGATGAAACACATTTGCATTCCAGTAAGTAATCATTTTATATATATTATGCAGAATATAAAATAACTTATGTTAGATGTCAACAGACATCATTGAATTGACTCAGACAGCTATCAATGCAGCTGAGAATTTAATTGTCATTGATGCTGACACTTCAAATGTTAACATTTTACAAAATACTGTGTCCGCTGCAGTCAAATCCTTCACAGTAAAGATTCATAAAATTCAACAATATAATTTCTATGAAATCTCAATTGAAACAGTGACTGATGAGATTTCAGTGATCACATCACCAGTCGCAGCTCTCAAGTCATCATTGAAACATCATACTTCATCAATTGAAAAAATTCAGAGTAATAAACAGATCTGCTTTGATGATAATTTCTTAAATGACACTGATCAAGCTGAGATGAATCTGTTTTTTAATCTCTGAATGGAATAAATATATTCAGCAGTCATCATCACCTTCTTCATTTTCATTTACTAACTGATTTCTAATAGATTTTATTAAACTGTTCTAAGTATTTCTGACTGTTCATCAAATTTTCCTCAGATTTCCAAGAATTATCTACATCTGTGCAATTCTTTCATTTAACAAAGTATTGTGTTTAATCACAGTATTGATGTTTATTGTAAGAGATGGGCTACAAGAGTAATTACAAGAGTAGTGTGAAGTACGCACAAAGGATATTAGAAAGGTAGCAATCTCTATTGTTCAAAGCTAATCGCTGATCTCCTAAAATCCACGGATATCAGCGAGCATTATATAGATAATATTGCCATCGCCACGTATCTATCGCCACGTATCTATCGCCACGTATCTATTTCCTAATATAGATATCTCCGTTGCTCCTATTACAATTATCTCCCTTCTTCAAAGGCCTGGTCCCCAGGGCTTCTTATTGTGCGAAGTTCGTAATATGTGCTGCGTGGTTGATATTGTATAAAGTTCGCAGGATAGGACCGAATTAATTGTTCGGGTTAATTCCGAAGCGTTGCTGACTCGGGAAAAACGTTGTTCCAGTTTCGGTGTTATCGCGGTCCAATCATGATTTAGGCACAACCCCTGAACCCCTTTCCTTTAACCTTTACACCACAAATCGTATCCTAACGAGATCATCACCATCATCACTAACAACGATTTTTTTTATTTTAAAAGAATACACCAATTGATCAAGCAAAGTACACTGTATCTTCCCATGCGATTTTTATTGCGACATTCGAAGTTTTGGTTGCGTGGTTGCGTTTTTCTAATTTGGGGTCGGATTTTGTGTTGTTGCAACTTCTTTGA